CCGCCAAGTGAGTAGCAAGTGTCCTTTCTGGGCTCAGAGTATGTGTTTCTCACAATTTCCCAAAGCATGTAAATGTAGGGATGCTGTACCCTCAAATATGAACAGATGTGAGCCAAAAGGTCTTAGATAAATGCACAGTGACACCATACACTTCTGGAATGACATTCTCACCCGATGCTAGCACTTGGGACCCAACACCGATGGAGTTTCATGCCCTGAATATTTATCAAGGGATGTTCTACAAATTTGTGTGTGTAGGACCACATGTGCATAAAATATTTAAATACTGTATTTTACAATAAGAATTTTATTGGAAGCGGCAAGGCCACTGCCTTTTCACCTACTGAGGAGGCAGCAGATATTTCCTTAGGAATAAAATACATATTTCTATATCATCAAACTATAGGTGCTTTTTTTCTGAAAACCTTAAATTCGCTGCTTTGTTACACCTTTAAATGAAGAAGAGAGGTGGACATGCTTAAGAAACTCTGAATGAGGGAGGAGAAAGTTTTCTCTTTAACAAACTGAATCATTCTTGGTTTTAAGCATCCAGCAGAAAAGTATAAAAATGAGGGATAAAAGTAAACTCACATTAATATGGTGAGCTGTAAAAGACTCAAATCAACAACTCCTGACATTTCCAGTTCTGCGGATAACCCACTGCTATTATGGACTACTGGATTATATTGGACTATTTTTGCTGAATTCATGAACCTACAATATTTGAATGGCAGTGGAATACCCATCTCTGACAAAACTAAACAGAAAAGGGGGATACAAATGAAGGACCATTTTGTAGTGAAAAAATATATATATATCTGTATATACAAAATAGGATAGATATACAGCTACTTTCTCTTAGTTCAATGAGAAAAAAAGATTTGTACTAATAGTGCTTAGACAAGATATCATGTCTGCATCTTGTACTATGAATAACTACCATGAAGACAACAACATACATGTATCTTTCCCACTAGCCTGATTTGAAACTGTCTCACTGCTATTTCTTTCTCAATAAAATTAAAAAAAGTTTAGCAAGTATAAAAATTTGAACCTTGGGAGCTGAGTCACGAATTTTTCTGATGCAGTAAAACAAAGGAGATTTTCTTTTTCCTATCAATCTTCTCCAAAACCAATGAAAATATTCAATCTACTTTTTAAAAAAAATATGGAGTTTAGGAATCCTTTTCTGTAAAAGAAAAAAATAGGCATAATGCATTCTTGAGCATTCTTAATCCTTACTTCAAACTTTCAATGGTTCTAATTTTTCTAGAAATAAAGGAGCACTATACCAGAGACATGCATCATATCCTTAGAAATTTTCCCTTCCCCTGTTTTTCTGTTAATCCTTTACTCTTCTAAGAAAATGTTCCATCCTATTTGAATTACAGGGAAATCAGTGTACTTCAAAAATATTACAACACAAATACAAGTGGAGTGTTTATCTCGCTTCCAATTATTATTGCATACAATTATCTATTAACAATTCACTTATGGTATTTAATTTCTGCAAAGTGACTTTTAAATATACAAAAATCTTAACAGGCAGATACTTCTTACACATAAACCTGTTGCAACGATTACAGTTAGACACTTGTAGGGTCCCCAAGGGGTTATATGTCTAGGTTACTGCTGCCCACTTGCCTCTGTGCTTTGGAAATGGCAGAGGATGAAAACATGGAAAATCCTGACATCATATCCTTAAACTCCGGGGAGTGAGAGATGCCTTAGAGAATATGCAGATACAGACAGATTGCTTCTGCACTGCAGCTTGCTCTCAGTGGAGATAAAAATACTACACAAAGCAGACTAGTCACAGAGAGTGATACTTTCCTCCTGCTGTCTCTCAACTGTCAGATCCATCACACCCAGTGCAAAGCTTGAAATAACTAAGCTTATGGGTTTCTGGGGGAGATGATGCGAATGATTCACTCATTACGAAGGGTCAATAGATTGAGACATTTACAATGAGATGAATTTTACACTTCTAAGTCCTGAAGTTGCGTGTTTGTAAGGTAGT